TGTATCTTTACGCATTTATGATGCTTTTGATGGTTTCCGCRTCTCAGCCAGGAAAATTAGGTGGATTCATCCCTTTTCTCTCCACTGTCCTGATGTCCTCTGCCAGCTGCTCTTTTTATTTCTTGTAGAGTCTCAGGCTTATGGAGAGATAAATATTCCTTCTAATTGTACCTGGCTAAGGCTGAGTTATTTAGCAAAGGTTCTATCAGACCAGAAAAATTAGCACTCCTCTTTTCTTTGCTCTTCTCCTTTTCACCCTGACTCCTAAGGATAGGTAATTTACTATTTCTTTCTTCTCTTTTATTCTGCCACATTATTCTTTCCAATATGCTTTGTGTATTAGCTTCCTCTAATTCATGTTCATCTTACCACTCCAAACTTATAAATCCCAAGTCAAATTTACATTTCTACAGAGCTTTTATTCACCCTTAATGCCTTCTTGCAAACATTATTATTTTAATGTCTTTATAGGCCTTTTGGTACCAATTTGCCACTGCCAAAAAATTCTCCAGACACAAACCACACACAAAAATATGAAGTAGACCAGCAAAATTATTTCTAAATAGCTTTGGAGAGCATGTAGGAAGGGAAGAGCAGATTTTGGGTTTGAACCAAGTTTGTATGCATTAATGACTGTACTTCATTCGGTAGTGAAATTTTTTGATAATCATRTTTGTGCTATAGCTATTTCATTTTTCCAGACTATCCACTTTTATACAACATAAGATTGCTTAAGTTGGAATGCTGGGATAGTTTATTTCATCCCATTTCTCCAAGGCCATTGCTGCCTGCACGCTCTTAAACTCTGTAATGCTTCTGTTCCCAACACATATATATACCTTGGCAACAATTAAAAAAAAGACATGAATATAAATGAAAAGTAGAATGTGCACACACACAAAATAATTCGTTTAGCATCAGGATTATCTGGGGCTTATCTAAGAATGACAGCAGGACTTGTTCTGTGGTCCAGCTGATCAGGCAGACACCAGGTACTGCAAGAAGCTTTCTTTCCTGCTTCCATGCAGAGGATTAATGTTAAGGCACACAGTTAGCTGACAGGACTATTAATTGCCCAAATTCCTCAAGCTAAAGAAAGAAAAAGCCAGCTCAGCAAAATGCATCTGTCAAAGGATGGTGTGGTTTTTATTTTCAGCAGGGGATAAGCCAACAGGAGACCCCAGCCAGGTAAGCAGAAAATTCTGAATGGAGAAAAATAGAGAAAACCATTAGGGCTGGCGGTGAAGGCAAGGGAACATAGGTGTCTGCTGGTGCTTGGTCAGCCAATATCTGTCCTGGAGGCAAACTGGACAGTGTTGCCACTAGTAGCCCCTTGCTGCTTCCCCTGTTGTTCTCAAAGTGTGGAAGCAGTGGGGAGCGCCAGCCTTTTCCAAAGGAGGGCTGGCAGATCTCYCCACTCTTGTGGGGTCACCCCTCCCACTGTGCTTCAGGTCAGTGAGGTCTCTCCATGGAGCAAATCCCCTTTCCAGCCTTTTTCTGGCTTGCATACAACCATGGGCTTTGCACATGGGGACAAARGTGCCACAAGCACCCACTGCCTGTGAGCTGTGCATCCTTTTCCTGCCAGGAGAAGCAGAGGAGAGCGATATCTCCACAGATGATCCCAGCAAGTCTGATGGTGCTGCCATTCCCAGGGGATGCCAGATTGCTGTCCCAGAGGTGTCGCTGTCCGAAGCACCTCCAGGTGCAGCTCTAAGGGCAGGGTCCTGTGTTTTATTACAGCCATGGCGCTGTACTGACTGTGTCTGCTGTGCACAGACAGCGGCACCAGCCCCACAAGTTCCCAAACAACCCTGATGTTGTTTCTCACAGCAACAAGGCAAAGCTGCTGGGTGCCTTTTACATCATCCAGGCATTAGCTTTTACCACCAGTGGCCCTGGATGTCCAACAGCACAACTGCCCTGGGTTAGGATGCTGCATCCCTGCGGCAATGCAACAGCTCCCAGGAGCCGCTCCCTCTGCCCTGTGCTYCTGGATTTCCACACAGCCCCCACTGTCCCTCCATTTCCCCCATCCCTGCGATCAGAGCCACACACCCTGTGAGGACAGGGACTATAGATAATTCAATGGCAGCCACCCAGGAAGCCACACTCCCAATGCACAGAATGCTTTGGTCGTTTATGATGAAGTACTTTCCAAAGGAAACCCAGCCATCACTGAAGTAGCTGCTTCTCCCCAGTGTTTTCAAACAAGCTCTCCCTCTCTSTGGGGCTGTGGAGGAGCAGCAGCTCCACCCAGGCTCAGATCCAAGCACTTTACAGTTCCTAGTCACGTTTTCCCACTTTGCCACTGCCACAAAGCCACAGAGTGTAAGAGGATGATCTGCACACACAAAGTAGCAGGAGGAGGAGTTACAGAGCTGATTTACCACCTTGGAGGCAAAAAGCCTTGCCAGACAGAGATTCTAAATCACAGATCCCATTAGCAGGCTTAGGAGGGAGATGAAGAGGCTTTACTTGCCCACATTAGGTTGCAGTCCTGAAACATCAAAAGGACATTTTTCAGACAAGGAATGCTGAAGACTCAGCTCAAGAATGCTGGTACCTGTCTAGCCCAGGTCYCCCAGCATACTGAAATCCCTGTGGCAACTCTTTTCAGAAAGAAAAAGTGATGTGACTGCCATAAATGGTTTGGAAAAAAAGAAACAGCAATAACTGCATAGGAATGTAAAACATCACCAMAGGGAAACATCCAACACCTCTGGTTTGGCCAGGTTGACTAATGTTGAAGAGCTGTGAGACATGTGCTAACCCTGCTCTAGTGGGCCTCCAGACAAGACCACTCTAGAGAGGAATGCCCTAAAACAATATGTTCCTTTTCCAGCAGGCTACACCATTGCATTTTTGTTATGACAGTCTCTATTTCTGCAGGTATTTTTTTTTTAATGTCAAGGGCCACTCTCCTAAGGCTCCACTACACTTATGCTGCATGAGCATGTTTCAAAGCAAATGCAAATGTCCCTATAAATATTAGTATAAGAACAGGGCCCTCTTAAAAATTGCTAGATAATAGTAATTTTGAAGAGCTTGTGGCATCAAATGAATATGGGATTTATGACAATTGTTTTGCAGTAATAAGTATTTTTGAAGCCTGAACTAAATTCTTAATACAGCACTTAATTGTTTTGCAATTACTGACATGGAAATATATCCTTCCATGAGAACTACTTCTAAAAAGTACATTTAAGGTGAGTGAACATACAGAATATCTTGGAAATATAGATGTAATTCAAGAGATCACTAGCAGCATTTAGCACAGTTCATTACCTGTCTAGGCCTGAGMAGTGTTGGTTGAACAAGCCAAGCAATGAAGTGTGGGGGAAAAATACCCCTCATGTAGGGGTTGAGAAGACCCACAACATCTCGAGCACAGTGACTGTAACATATATCTCCAGTTTAATTCCTTGGCACCAGACTGAAGCTTGAATGGGACAAGTAATTTATCTCTCCCTGTAATTCTGATGGAAGACACAAGACTGCCTGGGTGAAGTAAAATGTGGCAATTCCTTTGGCTGCATTTGGTGTTTAAACTGGTCACAGGCAGAAGCTTTCAGTAAGGCTTTCTGGAATTTCCATCCTCTGGAAATATTTCAGGATTTGCTGAAAAAAAAGTGTCCCACTTCTCAATAAAAGCTGAAGAAACTAGACACCTTTTGCAGCTAATCTGGGGAAAAGAAAGAAAGGCAACTTGGAAAAACGATTTAGAGGTTAGGATGTTTGTTCTAATAAAAACACAAATTCTCTAATGAAGGTGAAATTTTCTAGAACAAATAAGTCTAACAGACAATTCCCCACTCCTTTCCCTGTTAGATCTTGGAAYTTTCTGCCTTGAATAGAAATACAAGCCAAAAAATATTACACAATCAAGCAGAGTGGAAAAAAAAGAAACTCTTGAGCTATGGCATTGAGTAAATGTCACCTGAATCAATGAGGAGTCCAACAGATGGAGGTTTTAACATTGTTTTTTTCAAATTAATCATTAATTTATTTTTTAAAGTACCGACCATAAATCTTCCTAGAACTGATTGTTATTCTGCCTGTTATGATTCATTAAACCGGCACAGAACGAGATCATTATCATTTTAGTTAGCATTTTTGAGACTGCCAAATATCCTCCAAGTACTTCCTGCAGCTGGGACTGGAAGCATTGTCCTTGGAGCTGGCAGCCTGCTTGCACCATATCCTGGTCCAAGAGCTCCTTGTGCCTGTGGCTAGCAGCACTGCCGTGCCCAGGGCACCCTGCTGGAGTGGGTCACTTCACCTGCCCCTCAGGCAACAGCAAAATTGGAAGTTCAMCTCAAACTGCAAAGCTTGAGTCTGTAGACATAAGCACCTGCAGAGATGCCCGGCCATCTCGCCCAGGAGGAGAGCTCCCCTGGAGGAGCTAGGGCTGGAAAACTCTTTTCCGGAGGTGAACTCTCACCCACCTCACCCTCCAGCTCAACTGGGACATTTTGGATAAATTACTGATCCCTCTGGACTGATTGGGAATTCTCTCCTCCTGCTGGAAATTCCCACATTGTAAAGCCAAAGGATGAAGCAAACAGAGTGGCAGCCATAGGGGACAGGTTACCAAAAATAGACCTTTTTCCTTTTAATTTCCTTTTGGTGTAATTTCCTGGCTGCATTATTGAAACAACAATGACATAAGAGGCATAATACAGCAACAGGGAAGACAGGAGAAGGTAAAAGCAAAAGAAACAATGACATATTTGTGTAGGAAAAAAAAAAAAAAAAGAAAAATGAGCTTGCAGAAAGGGGAATTCACAAATTACCCCATAAAAAGGCACATAGCCACCCCCTGCCCCTCTGACACATGAAGGATATCAAAAGAAGGAAAAAAAAAAAAAAAGCCAACAAATTAAAAACAAACCACCACCCCAAATTACAGCAATTACTTGATCAGGGCATTTTCACTTCCTACTCTACGAGAGAGAAATTCCCCAGGTCATCTGACCTCTGTTGAAACTACACCAGGAAGAGGAGCAGCGGCAATCAGCAAGTGCAGGGCGTTCTCCAGCGRTACAAAAGCCTCTCCTGTGTGAGCYAGAGCTCAGAGCAGTGCAGGGATGTGCAGGTGTGTGTACACATAGCGAGGCAAGGTGCGAATATCCTCTCAGCCAGATCATCTCTTGCTCAACTCCTCGGCCCTGTGCAGCCCAGCAGAGCTTTTGCTTTTCCTTTCAYGGCTCATCTCCAAACATGCCTCCAGAGCAGACCTTCTGAGGAGCTTCTGCCTRAAAACAGCTTCTCTCCAAGAAGAGGTGGTGACGAGCAGCATGGTGGGGATAATGGCAATGAGGACGTGGATTGAGCCCGTGGTGGSGGGTTCCCAAGTGGCCAGTGCCTTCTACGACACGGCCCTGCTGCTGGTGGTGAAGAACTACTACAACCAGACCAACAGCACTGCTCCCTCCCAGGCACTGGAAGATGCTCAGCAGAAGGCTGTATCTAATTTCTACATCATCTACAACCTAGTWCTGGGCCTGAGCCCGCTGGTGTCAGCCTACGGCTTGTCCAAGCTGGGGGACAGGATGCATCGGAAAATCCCCATCGGCATCCCTCTCCTTGGTTATTTGGGCTCCAAAACTCTCCTGCTCCTCGTGATCCTGCTGGGCTGGCCAGTGGAGGTGATGTACGGGGCTGCTGCCTTCAATGGGCTGACAGGAGGCTTCACCACRCTTTGGGCAGGAATCATGGCTCTGGGATCCCTGGGCTCCTCCGAGAGCAGGAGGTCCCTGCGGCTCATCATYATTGAGCTGGTGTACGGCCTGGCTGGCTTTCTGGGAAGCATGGCTTCTGGCTACCTCTTTGTTGGCTTCAGTGACCACTATCGAGAAGGCACCGTGCTGGTGTGCTGCAGCATTGCTTGCTATGCTTTCTGTCTCCTCTACAGCATTTTTGTGCTCACAGTCCCCAAGCCAGCAGCTTCCTGCCCTGCCAAAGCCAAGGGTGCAGAGGAGGTGGGTGGTCAGCTACCAGCCCACACAGAAGCAGCAGCAGCAGGGAGTTCCCAGCCTTCAGAGAGCAGCATCTCCACTCGAGTATCCCCCTCCAAACTCACCATCATCCTGCTGTTCGTGGCAGCAATCCTCTATGACTTTGCTGTGGTCGGTGCAATGAAYGTGCTCCCGCTGTTCTTGCTCAGGGAACCTTTAAGTTGGAATGCTGTGGAGATCGGCCAYGGGAATGCCGCCGGATATGTGATCTTTGTCACCAGTTTCCTAGGGGTGTTCGTGTTCTCCAGATGCCTGAGGGACGTTACCATGATCATAATAGGAGTAGTATCGTTCAGCGCTGGCATCCTCATCATGGCCTTCGTGCAGTGGACGTTCCTGTTCTACATTGGTGAGTTCAACAACCACTCAAATGAGCAAATACAMCCTGAGAAAGGGGGGTTTCAACATCACTTGAAGGGCTTTTTGCTTTGCTTCACGAGTTTGCAAGCAGGGAGTTGGCAGTCCATCATATGGGCAATTGACAAGAGACCATTCTTACTATTCCTCTTTCCCCACATCTCCCTTTGTACTCATAAGCCTCAGCACCCTACTGTATCCTGAGGAGGCATACACTCCTGCCAAGGATTAGTTTAAGGCCCATTGACTTGTAACTCATCACTTGGTCACAGAGCAGATGTGAGCAGAGCAATATTCACACTCTGGGGGACTGGGAATTGTTGCTGACTTCCTGTACTAGTTGGATCACATCACTGCCTTSCAATGGCAAGCACTTGCTTCTTGTAAGGTAAGGCTTAAGGCTACAACAGAAACAAAATTCCTGTTAAAAAAACATCTTAGGATGTTTGCACATAAATTACTAAGGGACAGGTAACAATAGATGGGGCAGCAGCCCATGATAAAGAAAAGGCAAGCTTATTTTTGGGAGGTAACCTATGATGAAACAGAAAACAAAACCCAAGAACTGCATTCATTGCGGCAGAGATATCTGGCAAAGCACYATCTATTGCATGGCTTTAAGGTTTTGCTTTTGAAAGTGGGAAARAACAGTGGTTTTCTGTCCATCCCCCCAGAGAATGGGAAATTGAAAATTAAACAAAGTTGTTCTAAAGGGAAAAATGATAAAATATTGTATTTGTGTACTAAGCTAAACACTGAGTGAAAAATTTAAGAGATCTTGTTTGCTTAGGCAATCAAGCTGGGAAATAAAAGATGAAAACACAAAATTAAAAAAAAAAAAAAAAGCTTAATAATTAAGCTTATCTTCATCATGAAGACATGCTGTTATACAGTGTGTAGGATGCTTATTACCTGTGTTGCAGAAGCACCTTGGAACACCAGACATGAACCAGTCTTCATTGAAGTTGGCTCTGCTGGCAGGAAAGAAATTCCAGCTCCCTCTAAATTTTCACAGTAGAGACAGGCCAGAATACTGCAAGCCAGAAGCACCAAGATGTAAGACAGCTGTAGTGTTATAAAGGTACTATTCCTGTCAAGGCTGTGTAGCACTAGGGGCTCTCTGTTGGTTGCACTCAATCACCATCCTCACGATCCCAAAGAAGAGTGAGGATCCCATCTACGCTAGGATCAAGAGACCGTGTCTAGTTTGGGCAAAGTACCTCCGCTAATGGGAGCAGTAGGTGGCTTATCTGCCCTAGATGAAGTGAGGACCTGCCTCTTTTTAGCACTCAAGGGATGAGAAGAGGTGAAGCAAAGTTCCTGCCCAAGCCAGAGGGAGGAAATCTTCAAAAGCAGTGGTTTTGTTGCATGACAAAGGGCGAGTACCGGTGATAACCCAAAATTCATTGCATTACAGCACGGGCAGTGATGCTCTTCGCCCTCATCCCCTTACCAACCATCAGATCCATGTTGTCTAAGCATGTCGAAGGATCATCCTATGGTGAGTATTTTGGTTAYCTTACCAATCAAAACAGCCTGAAATCTCTTTATTCAGCTTTGCGTACAAAGAGAAAGGTAACTTATTGCTGCAATCTGTGCTTTGTGTAATAAAACCAGAACAGATGATACCACAAACAGGAAGGGAGAAGCTGAGAAACTTGCTGGACGAGATTCTAACATCCAATCTTCTCATCCTYGGTTGCATCATCATTTATCCACAGAATTTTCAGCATACACTTGAAAAGATTACAATCAGTACATAGTTCAAAGGCAGGTTAAATAGGTGAGGGKCTGCTCAAAAACACAGTACTGCAGGGAGAACCAAGAAAATCAGGATATTTGAGTTGAAACACTGTGATATTCAYACCATTTATATCTGGCTTCTTTTAGTTTCTGGAAGGATGGATTTTTCACATTTTTTTCAGTTCTGTTCTTTAAACATTTCTTCAAGTGTTTGGCAGTTTGTTCCTGTCAGACCTGATTTAACTACAAAGAATAATCTTTGCATAAAAATTGTCCCTAACTGGAACAGCAACAGGAATTCTTTTCCATTATAAAATGTATTAAAAATTTGTAAAATGCGTTTTACAATGGCATATAGGCCTGGGTTACTTCCCTTCACCCATCTATCCTGAAAGAAACCCTTCAGTAAAGAGTAGTTTCAACTAGAATCAGTTTCTGCCTTTCTTTCACATGAAATATCATACWAATCACACACACATCCCCATTTCAGGTATTCTTATAATTCCAGCCCTGTGAAGTACTTTGCTGGCTTAGGCCAGACGCAGACCCTGCCTAAAATTTCTCCTGTCCTGAGGATATTAGCTCTAGATTATTTTTCTACCTTCTAGGGAAAGGARCACTTACTGTCCAGTTCATTGCTGCTCTTCCAAGCAGATCCCTTTATACCTAGGCAGRTATGTCTGTTTAGAGAGACCACTTTCAGGTGTGGAGATCTTTTGCCCCACACCTAAAAGAAGAAATTTTTTTTTAAAATTCTGATGCAGAACAGAAGCAGATAAAAGCTTATGCCATCTGGTGTTAGTGAGGCAATAACCACACAGTGGTGATCCTGGATTAGCCAGGGAGGTAMCACAGCTGATTTTTTAATCTCCAGTAACAAACTACGTTCTTGTTTTGCAGGTAAGGTGTTTGTCCTGCTGCAGCTCTCKTTAGTCACCACGGGAGTAGTGACATCTACAGTCTACAACAAGATCTATCAAAACACACTGGACTGGTACAGTGGCTTCTGCTTCATTTTGTCTTTTCTAGTTGGCTGCCTGACTCTCGTTCCTTTAAGGTAAGGAATATGARAAGTTTTGTTCAAAAGAACATGCTGTATTTTCTCTGTGCATCCCAATTCTATGTCTAAAGTGTATAACACAGATAGCAAAAAACCAGAACAACAAAAGCTCCCCAACAGAATTTTCGAAGAAAAAAAAAAAAAGGGGGAAACAAAGAAACTTGGAAAAATTAGTTGACAAATATAAAAGAAATTCAAAGAATGAAAGTTGCAATGTCTAGCACGTGTTTTTTTAAATCTTATTTTTGTTTAATATAACATGAATTGATGTAGGAAGAGTAGCTGGCAGTTTAACAGCTAATAATCCCAGGAGGCAAAGCATTCGCACAAATGAAAGAGTCTGTTACTGTGAAAATAGTAGTAAGTAGAATGAGGGAATAATTCTATACAAAGTAAAATCTTTGTAAAATAAATCCATTATGTGTTACTTACCCATTGTAAGTAGATAGAAAAGAGTAATCTGAGTCTCCCTCAAATATTTCAAGAGAAACCATTACTACAGTGAAGGAAATGGTTACTTTTCTGGTTCAGTGAATTTGCCCAACAGTATTATTATGGAGTGACTGAGAGGTACAATTTCAAGAAAAAAATTTAAGCGCAAACCCAGCTTAATTTGAAGAGAGAAAGCTATTACAACCCCTCAATCTACTTTTATAGATTTTTTGAAGGATCTCCCTCCAAATCTCACCTTGTCCATTAGACCTTCCCTGAGACTTTCCAGCTTCTTGCATTACTAGAAAGYGCAAAATTCCTTCTGTATGAAGTGAACTGTGATAATGTCAGTATTTCATCCATGCAACAGTATTTTAATTCAGATATAAGGCATGTATTGGATAGGCTAATGCCTGATTCCAGGCAATATTCTTGCCTTACTCTCTTGTATTTAAAAACAATTATAGTAGTAGAAAGCCTAAAAGCACTATGTATACTGACTTCAGTCGCACCACTTGAGAGAAAGGAAAAAAAACACTCAGGAAAGCTCTTCCACCAGCACCTCTATTTCATCCAGAGCACTGACGGCTTTCTGGACATTGGACAATCAGTGTCTTCAGGACTACTGGTATGGGGAAGGCTACTTCATACTCATCGTTCCCCTCCATCTGTCTTCCAGACACAAAAGACTTGTTTCTTATGCAATAACCCTCTCTTTAACAGAGGTCACTTTAGCTGCTCAAATGCTTTTTAACACAGGTGCCGAACAGAAGTTAGTACTGTTATCAGMATAAACATGGGTTATCAGGATTTAAAGTCTGAGGCATGACAAATGGTGCCAATATCACTGCTTGTACACAAGAGCGGCTGGCAATTAATTGAGAGGAATCACATTAGCACTCAGCCAGACMAGACACTCCAGCAAAGTTTGAGATGTGGAAAGAGCAAATTGCAGTTTGAGAGAGTAGTTTGCTAACTCTTACTATCTCCATTTGTATTGTTCTTTACAGCTTTGTGGCCATCAAACAACAGTCAACCACTGGCTCCCTTCAGATTCTGACTGAGTAACAGAGGCATCTTTTGGTCCTTACCAACCTCTACGAMCGTGGAACATTTGACAAGCATTAGTCTTTACAGTTGCCAACACTGCAGAATGTACAGCATTTGTATTTCAATTTCACAGCATGCCCCAGTCTCTCAGCCACTAAGCTTGCTCAGAAAGTGTTTTTTGCCTTGTTATTTCTGCAGTACCTCATCTTGCAGAGATTGGCTATTGCACACTAGCAGTCCTCAGAGCATCCTGCTTTTTGCTAGGCTGGCTAGCAGTACCAAAGAGGGACAGGAATACAGGCTAGAAATGAAAATGGCATTTCTAGACACATCTCTCAGTGTGGAACAGGGAAAGCAGATTGATTTTTCATTAGTTTCTTCTGTCTGTTCACTCGGAAACCTCAGGGCATTTCTTTGACTTTGGCTGATGAAACAGGGAGCTGCAAGCCACATGCCATGTGCACAGGGCCATCAGCAGGACACAGCAGCTCTCCACCTGCTACAGAAGATGTGATTAGCCCAGCCAATTAATGTTACATAAAAGACCATTAAACAGGAAATACCACCATAAAAATATGTAAGATGAACACAATTTTTGTAATCCCTACAATAAAACACCCTTGAATGGATGTTCCAGACCTTGACTTCTGTGAGATTGTCCCACTGTCCCTGGACAGCACTTTCACAGAGCTCATGCAAGGACTAAGGCTCAACAGCTAATGCTGGTGTTTCAGCTCACCACCACAATGTGTTACTCTTGCAAAGGTTAAGAACAGGTAAGCACAGCACACAGTTCCAACAGGCTTTTTGGAGGTGCAGGGACACTGATACCACATCACAGTCACCTTTTTACCTCAGCTTTAATCTGGGTTGGAAAGGAACCTCATACAATACAGCAACTAGCATGWGATGATGTCGCATAAACCCAAACATGAGTCAAAAGTCTGGCATCTCACAAAGATGTATCTGCTTACGTGCTAATTGAACTAAGAAGGATTAAATGGCTTCCAAAGTCCGGGACTAAGTAAAGGGAATTTAAAAGCCCTTCAATAGCTGAAATAATCTGGATGCAAATCAGGCAGCTTCAGTTCAAGACAGGCATGTAGTAGGTGGAAGCTGGCTCATCACTRCACAACTCTTGCTCTGAGCAAGTTGCTGCCACCCTGTCCACCACATATACACAATCCTTCCTCAGCTCCTTCACTTGCAGTACCAGAAGTAATGCAGCAACAGGTCAAGTGGCTTCTAGTTAAATCAACTGTGAAGTGAGATTTTAGGAGAAAGGTATTTCTGCAGTAAGATAAGTGAGCTGCTCAGCAAAWTAAGCACACACATAATTTCGATGGTGAAGGCTGCAAAAAAAATGAAACTTTATTCTAAGTAAAGGAGTCATCTTTTAATACATTTATTGGTCCATTCCATTAAATTAATTGAGGTAAACAAATGGTGTATTTTAAAAAAATGTACACACTAATAGAGAATTACAAACAGTTTTACCTCAAAGCGTTTTTGTCCATCAATACTAGCTCCATAGTAAACAATGCACGAAGTATATTTATACAGATATATGAAAGGGTATAGAAACATGCCAGCACCAGAAGGCAAGACAACATTTCCTAGCCTGCGAGTCTGAAAAAGAGCATAGTTGCCAGATTTGGCCAAGTGCAGGAAACAAAACCCTCCTTCCCCTTTTTACATTGTTTACTAGCTAATTCACAGAGAGACAAGTCTTTTCACAGCTTTCATTTTGTATTTTAATGGTATGAACAGTGACTCTAGTTCTGGTGAATGTGTTTACAGAGAGTGAACACAGAATACTCTGGAAAACAAGCCAGCACCATTTTGGTTCCCATCACTGATACCTTCAACACACTGTGTGAGGCACACAGCCAGCTCACCTTCACTTGTATGGCCCAATGCTCCAGACCTTAGGGAGGGACAGAGGGATACAGGCACACAGAAGTGAGAACAAGGACGGTGYTTCTTTATTTTTGTGTACTACAGACAAAAGCCCTTTGGTGCCTATTGTAAGACTGGCCCTCAGCAATCTGTCTCCTTGTCCAGTGGCAATGTTGCACTGGCCCTAACCCTGCAGCTGAAGGTATGGATACATATTCCCACAGCAGAGTTAAGGAAATGGTTTTATCTTCAAAGCATAAAATACCAAGACCTTCAAAGTAGTCTAGGACAGTGACTAGCCTTTATTGTTTTAACATGCCATTTACATAAGGGTGATATACCTCTTTGGAATGTTCATTATTTTCTGCACAATTACTGGGCTTTAGGCATGCAACCTTAAAACATGTCCAGTTCGTTACTAAGTATTTGTACAAGTCAGATACTCCAGCAAGACTTCCAAGTGCTAAGCACAGAATTAAGCCCTGCCATTTTAGTTTGTAAATTAGTTCAACAGCACTCCCAAAAAGTTTTAAATGCCACATTCAGTCTGCCAGAAGCCAGTTTTATTTCTTTGATCCCCAGTTGTACTTCACAAGAGGAAAAAAAAATCCAACAAGTAGTAGCAACTCCCCTATCTTAAAAAAAGAAAAGTCCTCATTTTCCCTATATATTAGTTGTGGTRGTAAAAGTTAATCTATCCGAGGAAGCAATATTCTACCTTCAGAATTTAAGATGACAGAACATCTAATGAGCTAATTCACTCTATGCAACGTTGCTCACTGGTTATCAGGACAAAGATTTTCAACAGCCTGCAACAATAATCATAATAATATCCAGTTAAATTGTGCACAGTTTAACAAAAGCATGGCTCCTGTTAAAATACTGAATACTCCCTGCTGATCTGGGAAAGAATTCTTTTGTACCCTGGCATCTCCATGGCCTGAAGCAAYCATAAACAGGCTACGCAGAGCTGCTGCTTCAAGGCATCTGCACAGTACCCKCACAGAACTGTCCCTGCTACTCATGCTTTGTTTCTGTCACTTACCCCACTACTTCACCCTTAGCACAAGTTTTAGTGCAACAAAAATCCAAGTAGATTTCAGTGAAGAACCAAAACTTTGTTTTTGAATACAACTCGCATCCGAGCCATTTCTGTCTTTAGGGCTACACTTACTACCTTTTCATTTTTCAATGTATACCTGAAAAAGCCATGATGTTTTAACATCTGTGTTTATTGCAAGATTTAGAACCTGATAAAGGTACACATGAACAAAGCATGCTCCATTACTGAGCACAGAAACAAGATCTCAGTGCTTGCTTTATTGTGCTGGTGCCACTTAGAAGAAACAAACACGGAGGAAGCTCCAAAGTAATCAGACGGCAGTGAATTATGCATCCTCTGAAAGGGACCTTGCCCTGGCTAMGGATTATGAGGAAAACTGGGCTTATTCAAGAACTGCTGAAGGAACCRTATCTTGAACAAGCTCACAAAAAGGGTGCCAACTACTTTTTGTAGTGCCATTTTGGGGCACATGCAGAGAGTGATCTTAACTGACTCAACACTCAACAGGTTTCTCAAAGATCAAGCTCCTGCACTATTCCTGCTTCCCTTTACCAACATCTTCAACTTCTCTCATGGAAGTCTGGGCTATCCAAAGTAAAGACTTTCATTTTGAAAGGATTACAGAATAGCATGCTAAGAGTCACTAACAATTCAGTTCTCAACCTCCCACTAACAGCAGTTATTCGATGCAATGTCACTCTGCACATCTTGCAGGAATTTCTTGCAACTTTTGTAGTTCTCCTGACTGGCATGGCTGACTCAAACACCACAGTCAGGATCCTCCCCACATCTCACCCACAGCATCTCCCACAGTAACCCAGTGATTCACAACAGCTCTTCATAAGAAGAGACCACTCCACAGACCACAGGAGCTGAGACCCACCATTTCATGCCCCTCTTACCCTGCAGTGWTTCTTGCAAAGACTTCTCTTTTGAATGTCACGTTTTACCTCCCATGCATGAGCTTAACAGGTTTTGGTCCAGACCACATAAGATACGCTGATCTTCAATAGCTCCAGCCTCAACRGTTACATGTTGATTTGAACTTCACTTGGTACTCTCCACAGTCCATTACACTTCTCATGAACAGCTGTGATGTTAATTGCTTAATTCCCCAGAAGCAAAACCCACTTCAGTTTGACATAAAACAAAGCAGGAAGAGGACCTTAGTGTTGTAAGGCATCAGATGAAACCACCCGTAGGAGAAAAACACCATCCTTTCTACTCATCTTTTGCTGTTTATTTTAATAAGGTGGCAGGAAGACTAAGTATTAGTTCAAATTATATTTTGCTTAAGTCCCAGTGATTTCGATGAGTCAACTACAAAATTCCATTTACCCCAAATGAATTAATTCAAAACATATGTTGATCCTTCTTTGTGGAAAAAGGGGAAGACTGTAACCCTGAAGGCCAGACTGTTGGATAGTATGCAAGTGCTTATTCTAGAYTGCTTCAGGATGATCCCCTTAAGTACTTCCCCTGAATAAGAGGAGTCTGTGATTCTGAACCTACAATTTACACAAGAGTTCTCATTTACACCAGAAAGTGCATAATGGCAAACTGAGCTTAAAAGAACAGTTTGTTTAGTACCACAGAGTTGTCAAGGAAGGCTGAGTCAAAAAGGAAAATGTCTTAAAATGTCTTATATTTGATTTTTTCATGCAGAGAGCACCATCTCATTAGCCTGACAGCTACCACAGTGCTGCAATAACTCATCTTGAGAGCTCAATAAAGCCAACAGGCTGAGAAGGATGGCTGCAGGTTCAGACGGTATTTATGAAGGAATAAATTCCAAATCAGACTAGTACCTGGTAGGTTGTCACAGGAGAACACAGAAGTTCCACAAAATCAATCATTGCTCACATTCTTTGCAAGAATGTCGCCAGAGAACAAGTAATCACTCAAAGTTAGCAGTAAGCACTGAGTTATTTATTGCCCTAAATCCCAGCATTACACTCATATGAGACCCAACCCCCTCACTTAGGATGATTAAATCACGTCAGCATTCCTAAGGCCATTAACACCAAGRAGGCATTTACTTGAGGTTGGACTGCAAGAGAAAGGACAAAAAAGGGACTTGCAGAAGCAGCTACAATTCTGAAGGCCAATAAAAACTACTAAGAAAATAGATTTGTACCAAAAGTAGTCTCATAAGATTTGCCGTGTGGTTCAGCAGGGACAGGTATGAACACCATGTGTACCTGTCTATCCTCCACCAACCCATATAAGGCAAGTTTCACACACTCTGATGCTTGGTGGAAGCAAGCGTTTGACACCTTTTGGCTTTTGGCTTCGGCAAAGAAAGCATGGGGAAAGAAAGCAGAGTTCTACCTTTTTCTACAGAGGGCATCTTAGGTGACCAAGCCCAAAGGGGCTCTAGTAAAACCCACATTTTAAAGTATGGTGYAAGAGATTTCCACCACGCAACTTCCAGAGCTAGCTTTGGAAAAATTAAAGACTCGTACTTCCCCCACTAATCCCACAACCCTTGAAAGGCCACTGTCCAACTCATTCCCGCAGCTAGGCTAGTTTTGATCCCCAAGTCAGTCACAAGTACACTTCAGTCAACTGACATTACTTCATAATCACCAAGGTAAACAAAGATACTCAGTATGAACCACCAGCATGCCACACTCACAAAAACCACAGTTCATGCTTGCATCACCGGCTATCTGCAGCTGGTGTTGGTATGCTCTGACTAGGACCAGCTCGACTCCCAAACAGAAAAGTCTCCAGAGACCATTTCATCCAGAGGGAGCGCCTGGGTGGTAGCAAACCARAAAATATTCTTTCCCAGCCTTTCCCTGCCCAAAAAAAAAGGATAAGGATTGGTTAGGGAGTACTGTATCATAGAAATAATTATTGAGGGGTCTTTTTAAGCAAAAAAAAAAAAAAACAGAATGGTAATGAAGATGTCATTTGGCACCTTGCAGTAGAGTTTTATTTTCATCTTTTTAGTGTTCCACTCATCAGTTCCTTCCAGACTAGAGAGGTAAATTTTATAAGATCCCCATGCACTTTCACTATGAACCCCAATCACTCCTTAGGACAAAGAAGGAACCATTCAAGGTAACTAAAAAAGATGAAATATACCCCAGTTGAAACATAAAAATTGAGGAAAAAAAAATTCAAATAGGCTGGAACAGATGCTTTGAACAACTAAGTGCAGCTGTCATTTCAGTTAACTTAACAAAAAGAGTCTTCCATACAGTTCCAGTATGACTAGTGGTACTGAGCATTGAAGTGCTAGACTGTCCATGAAGATTCTTCTTATTTGGTCTCTGGCTTGTCTTGCAATAGTGGTATAATTGACTCCCACGCCGTAAGGCACTGAAGAAAGAAAGAAAGAAAGAAAGAAAGATTTAAAAAATGCATTTTACATCAGCTCATACAACTTCCGACCAACCCTTCCAGACCAACAGATTGCAAGTTGATGAAAAGTTTTCTGGATTTCTACAGATTATTAAGAAAGGGGGGGGGGGGGGAACCTCAGAATCTCAAACAGCAACGAAGTGTTAAAATAGCTGCACATTCCAAACAAATTCAACAAACTCAAGTTTTCCAACATCATCAGCTGGCCTGAGCCATTAAAAATAATCAGAACACCCAGGATTTCCAAAAACTAACTTAGATTTTTCTAAACTGAAGAATACACAGCTTTCAGCTAGACATACAAACTGTTTTGAGCAGAAATTTACATCTTTATGGTGTGACTGTGGTAAAGGCAGATTTGGACGCAACAGCAGCTATTACAGCCTACCTCCAGCAAACTTATTTGAAAGAAYACATGCATATAGGGAAGCTATTTCTGAGACACAGTATATTCCAGTAGAGYTCTGGGACTCAACTCTACTACATGACAAACTCATAGTACCTGGTATAGTAAACTGTAAGTGGAATTTAGCTTCTGGGTTATTTGAAAGCCACTCCAGGCTTTGGAGTGATTTTCCCAGACACATACACTTACTACAGTCTTTGTACTTTGTGTTGTTACTGTCTTTCAATCACAGCCCAGTAGTCAAACTGAACAAACACAAACTGTGGAATCCACATTATTAAATGCTGGAAATGAGCAAACTCATCAGCAGCTCTTATACCCACAAGTCACTGCTGAGAAGGCATCTTCCTTCTAAACTTGCCGACTGTACTGCAGCTGACTAGAGTACTTCTAGTTGTGTACCCTGAAGTGACTGGACACTCTTTTACCAAAAAAAGCTTCCTTGCTAAAAGCAAAACTAATGTAAAAATCTAACCCTCAACTGCAGAGGCACTGCCAGATCTTCTGTGGAGTCTTTAGTACACCACAGCAGCCTTAGAAGAGAGACAAGGGTGAAGGAAGTTCTATGTGTTTAGTTATGAACTATGACAAGACAGACATTGGAAGGGGAAAAGGTACTGCATACTAATATTACAGAGTGGTAACCTAGCACAGGAAGAAGCTTGTAAAGCAGACATGGAAAAATGAACAGACATGATGATGTTTACTAGGTTATGCATAAACCTAGTAGTTCTAGTAGTGTTTAATACATCATTATTGTATTTTTAATATACCCGAAGGGGGCTTACAAGACCACTGGAGTAGGACTTTTTACAAAAGGCTGTWGTGACAGGACAAGGGGTAATTGCTTTACACTGGAAGAGGGCAGGTTGAGATTAGATWATTAGGAAGAAATTCTTTGCTATTAGGATGAGAAATTCTTTGCTGTTCTCTGGAACAGGGTACCCAGAGAAGCCGTGGATGGCTCCATCTCTGGAAGTGTTTTAGGCTCATGTTGGAMAGGGCTCTGAGCCACCTACTCTATTGAAAGGCAGGCAGGAGGTTGAAACTTTAGATGGCCTTTGGAAGGTCCCTTCCAAACCATTCTATGATCCTATGGTATCAATCACTGCACTGGACTACACTGTTCTAGCATGAATAAAAAGTAGATTGGAAGCATATGCAGTTAAATGTCAAGGTCCTTTCAATTAAAAATAACAAAATCTGATACTAAATCCCAGGCACATATGCACCAAACTGAAAAAGGATAGAAGCTAGGTATTTTCAGGACTAGTATACAACGGACAAAGATTATAATAATAATAATCTATATATGAGTCTGTGAACATAACTCATGTAGTTTTGTTCATAAAAGGCAGAATCATGAGATTTTTCTACTCTGGTAACATGCAATTTTGTTTTTTTTTATCACCACTGCTGCTGCTCAGTGATTTGTTCAATTCAAGAGTGCAAAACAGACAAGCATGCATGATAGAATGCTGTTAGAGTGCTGACTTGAAAAAGATCACTGGTCTCAGAGATCACTTGACCATGACTTGCAACTCATTAGATTACACTAAGCTGCTGACAAAGAGCAGCTTCCATAGCACTACAGAACTGATTTACATGTCTAATATTCTCTGTCTTCAAGACAGTGTRAATATGTCTTGAATAATTATCCCTTCTGCAGAGGAAAATAAACTACTGTTATTCCTGCCATTGCTCCAACATGTGGCACATACCTTCTCGTAGTACTGGATGTTCTTATCTGCCATCCCCATGAGTAGCTGCCTAAAGTCTTGTCTTTTGTTGTTCTGCCATCTCTCCATATCTGCTTTCAGGTCAGCATTGAAACATTCTACTCGGTCTTGACATTTCTCAACATCTGTGGGTACCTGCAGCAAAAGAAATTAAAGAAAACTGTCACTGAGAGTACTAGATTGCTGAATTACCTCAAACATCACTAAGCAAAACTACAGAAGAAAGGTTAAGTGCACAATCCAGCAGTTATCCAGAATCAACTCAATTATGCCTGCAGGGAAAAAGCCACAGCTCTGAACTAGGGAGGATATGAGACTGTTTAATTTAATCTTTGCTGTTTGAGGTGGTAAGTGCYTGTGCTTGTCCATCTTCATACCTGATACAGAAGCAGATGGAGGAAGCACTTGCTAAAGCCACAAGAAAAACAGCTGATCTAAGTGCTGATACYGAGGTTCAGTTCCTGGGGCTCAAACTGAGCATCCTGGCTCCACAGCAAATCTTCCTCTTGCCCATTTACAGCTGCAGAAGGAATTTCCCTATTTACACCAGTGTGTATACAACAACAAACATTAAGGTTTATCAAAAAAGCTGAATGAGAAACCTCAGTATTGACAGTGCCAAATAAAATTTCTAAGCCCTTAATTTCTATCTTCCACTTTTAATCTTATGGACTTCCTGATCAAAATTTAACTGCAAAGCACTCGTGATCTTCACTACAGGATGGGCTCATGGATCTTTGGGCTCAACACTGGGCACACAACCATGCACAAGCAACAAGTGAAAGAAGGAAGAGGATGAACAGACTACCTAAGAAGCTTTCTATGGATGCCTATAGGAAGTTAGAGGTGTGCTATTAGCTTGCAGTTCTGCAATGTACTTAATTGAGGCAGAAACATCCCAACTGCATTACTTYGCCAGGATATAGATTAGGGCTTATCACTGAAGTATTACTCAGAGAAGATCGTCCATCTGCTCTCCAATAAACCAACCTCTTTGAGATGCAGGAGCTCTTCATACTAATGAAGAGTATGAAAAGGGGACTTTGAGCTCCCCTTTATTCACATAACTGAATTTACAGGCAGCTTGAGGGTTCAGTATATACTCTTTTCCCTTACCATGTCTGAGCACTATACTTATGGCTACAGAATTCACTCTGCTATGATTCCAGACTTCAGACAAGAATTATCAAGCCAGTGACTGGAAGGATTAGAGGATGCTCCCRTCAAGGTGTGTATGCTTTGTATCGTAAATACCATGCATTCTGAAAGAGAAAGGCTATGCTACCAAGAGAAATATTTATGAAGTTTGGAAGCAAAACACACAAGATTTCCCAATCCAATTAACTTARCTTCCAAGTACCCACAAGCTTCCTGGTTCTTCTGCCAGGACCCGAAACTACAAGGCAGCTATACAAAAATCTRTTCTTTCTCCCAGGGTCTGGTCAGGCTATGAGGGCTGTATGAATTTAGAGCTAAAAGGATAACCCAGTGGTCAGCAAATGGGTCACACATGCTCTCATCAAGGAAGAAGGGCAACTCCAAGCAAGTTGCCACAGGAATCATGAAAGCAGTGTCTGCACATACAGCAGTCCTATTTGGGAGTGCAAAATAGGACTTAAAAAACTGCAGGTCCCCAAAAGACAATGKGCAACTCAGTATTTAAGACAAAGTTTTAAGTTAATTAACAGCTTTTAAGCACTTAATATCAGTGCAAAGTCAATGCAAAGAGACATTATATGTTTACCATCAATTTTGGGTCTTTTATCTGCTTTTACCAGGGGAGACACTAAATACTAGCTAGCAACTAAGAACCAGGAAAATAGTAAAATAGACTCTGGGGAAAGTTGCTGCTTCCTCATTGACATGAGCTCTCAGCTACTGAATAGCCAAGAATCCCCTGAAGTCACAAAAACTAAGTGACAACTAGTTCAAACTCCAACACACTCTTAAAGGGTCCAGGACTATTTTAGTGAGTCAATTTCAACTGATGAGATACATGTATGCAGGCAAGAACTGAACATAAAATTGTACATATGGTAAAGAAGTTCTGCACACACTTTTAAACCTCTTTGCACTAATTCTGTTTTAAAAAACTACGTTTGCCTAACATCTATAATTTAGTGTGATCCATCACAGACAGTGTGTCCACTTTAAAATTCCTCTACAATAACATTACTAAGTAGCAAACGGTCCCAAAGCAGAACAAATTACATAGCATTAATTACACAACTGATCTTTGCATATGATATTTCTACCTTCCTAGTTCTTCGGGAACAGTTATCTGTTACAAGGCTTTTATTTCACCCCCCCCATATATATGGTCATAACCTACTTCAAGTTCTGCATTGCCATATTTACTACTTACATATTTTACTGAATCAAACAGGTTAGCAGAGGCAAATTTCATCTCACCAGGAGGAAACCACACCTGTCCTTCAGTGCACTAGTTGGATTACTGCAAAAACAGCTCCCACGTGGGCCAGAAACGGGCAAGAGGCATTTCACTCCACCACATGTTAGAAACTGAAAAGTTGCAGACTCCACACAAACACCGTGATGCTGCTGGTAAACACCACACACACTGTGCTTTCAGTGTAAGCTCAGCATTCTGAGCAGTACCTGCTGACAGCCACCCTAAGCCCTACGAGCCTTCTGCATTCATAGGCCTCTGAGCTCTAATCTCACCACCAGAACATTCTAATGGCCTGGTGATGTCAGGCTGGGTATGTGCACAGAGGCCCAGAATGTCCTCCAGTGACAGATTATCTTTCATGATCTAAACATAGGCCTTTGCTCTCTTACAGTTTTGTTTGSGGTCTTTTTAAATAAATTCTACCAAATCAGCAAATACACTACAAGGAATACAAATGCCATTCCACAACTACAGCACATGATCCTCTGCCTTCTTTTAGTTTCCAGCTAATCACAGCCGGGAGACCTCACTGAATGTAAGATATGCTGCTAGGCACAGCTCTGAGCTATCAGCTCTTACGGTACTGACACACCTTCTGGCTGGAAAGGTTCTGAAAACCCCAGAGACATGGAGTTTGAACATGTAAAGTGGCTGTGAACATGCAACGAGTTCTATACAATTTGTTCAACTTCATCTTGTAAATGACACAAACTACTTATACAACAAAAAGGTATAACAAGTTGCCAAAATAATGCTTATACTCTGCAGAGGAGATATAAGTACTCAAAAAAAAAWATCTCAAGATTCAAATGCTGCACTTTACACAATAATCTGATGGAGATGTGAGATCCAAAGGTCTTTTAAAAGGTGAGAGATTAGCAAAATTCAGCAATTCCACTGCATCAAGATCTTGGTAAAGTCAAATGCCTAAAAACCTCAGTTGGTTTGCTGCCTATGCAAGATTTAGTTCCCTTCAACCTATATACAACTGTTAGAATAGCTGTTTATACAGAGCTACACTGAGGAAGTAGAGCACATACCAGCCAGCAGAGGGATGGATAATAGAGCAGAACACAAGAGCACCACAAAACACCTGGTACACCACTATTTGTAGCTCATTACAGACAAAAGATTAGAAAACTACTTTGGCTTTTCTGTGCTCTCATCCTCTTCAGCTTCTTAAGGTTCAAAATATTACGTGAACCTCCTTTGCAGTGAACCTTATAGTACAGTAGTCCTAATACTGAAAGTCGTCCATTAATCATTAACATAAACATAAGGGGAACCAAAAACCTCCAAGCAGAAGAAGCGAACAAACCCTGCTGCCATCATTGGTTAAAGGTGCAGTGATTCAAGAAAAGGCTCTTGTACTCTGTTTTATGCAGAAGCAGGTGGCAGCATGAGCATGTCAGTTCACAGCTTTGCTTTAGCATGGAGCCCAGACAAAACCTGCCAGCCAATGACAGGTGCTGTCTCTGTTCAGCATCACACAGGTACTCCCTAGCAGAAGGGGCAAAATAATGGCATTTTCCACAGCCAAAACTGGTGTTCTGCAAYAGCACAGTTCCACAGTGCCAGCTGGCATACAGCAAAGTCATCAGGGACACTGCTTTGGTCACTGAACAGTCCAAGTGACTGCTGGCTGCTGTTAGAAGTGTTACAGAGCCTGAACTGCAGGAGAGCAGTAGTATAGAAGTTGCTAGACCAGCTACAAATATTCACACCTAGGTCCTTTTTCAACATCAGCTTGCTAACAACAAATTACTGTTCTGCCAGAAACTCCTTATAATACTGCAAAGAAGCCACCAGATCCAGAAAAAAAGCAAGTTTTGCTCCTCCATTCTTCTCAGGAAGTGCAAACTGGTTTTGTAGAGCAATTTAAAGTGCTAACCTTTGGACGGTCTTCTTTTCTCAAGGCTACTGCTTCCAGTTTTGCTTCATACTCCGCTTGAACTTGGTCTCTCTTCTTCAACACATTCTATGGGCAAGAGAAAAGAGAGCCGTGAAAGGGATCCTAATTCTTTCCCCCAGCCCACAGGAAACTCAAAATGATACATCTTCAGTGCCAATTCAGCACAAATGTGTACTTTCAGATTTACTTTGTTCTATTTTACAACATTTAGGGAGTAGTTTTAATAACAAAGAGCACTTGCTCTCCAGCAGCTGGATGGGTCAGATAAAATTCAGTATTTGGACAAGCTGGAGGCATGCAAGATAGAAGCCACCATGACACCATTATGCATTACTCACTTTAAACATGCTTTAAAAGTAATATCCAAGAACACCTCTGGAGATCCCAACATCTGATAAGCCTTTCTAGCAATGTTAAGCACACAGAAGTCAAAGAGCATCCTAATATCTGCACAGAATAATGTAGAGGAGAGTGTGCCCTCTGCATGTGCCTCCTAGGTCATCACTGGTGTACATCAGCAAATTCGGTACCACATGTTTGCTGACAAGGGCCTCACTGCATCAGGATTTGACACATCACATTGCCATGTCATAGGAACCATAGAATACTATGTTGGAAGGGACCTCAAGGATCATCTGGTCCAACCTTTCTTGGCAAAGGCACAGTCTAGACCGGATAGATCAGCACCCTGTCCAGCTGCGTCTTAAATGCGCCCAGTGTTGCAGAACCCACCATTTCCCTGGGAACATTATTCCAAARACTGATTGTTCTCATCGTGAAAGTTCTTCCCTTGTGTTCAATGAGAATGTGCCCAGGAGCAATTTGCACTGATTACCCTTATTTTCCCCTGGGACTCCTTGTGAAAAGGGAGGTTCCATCATCTTTGTAGTGAATCCTTAAATACTGGTACATGGTGATCAGATTTCCCCCAAGCCTACTTTCCTCAAAGCTGTCTCAGCCTTTCCTCACACAGCACATTTCTCAGTCCCTTGACCATCTTTGGGGTCCTCTTCTGGACTCTCTTCAGTTTATGCACATTTCCACGTCTTTTTTTTTGTGCAGCAGGGGTAAAAACTAAACACAATTGTGGCCTAACAGGCACTGACCAGAATGAATAATTTGGCAAAGGTCTCTCCTAGACACTTACAGCAGGTATTTTAACTCMAGGCCACACCAGCAGCTTCTCCCCTGTTCTGCAAATCTTTCAAACAAACCCAGAGACTAGGCTTCCCTCAAATGAGCTAATACTGTATTCAACCAGAACTACTGGCCTTTGCCTTCACATATGCAGTTCCCTCACGCTCCTCCCCTCAGATACAATAGTGCTCCTGAAAACATCAAGGCCTCATCTCTGAACAGTGAGGATAATGTGGCAGTTTTTACTTAAGGGACACTCAGCCAGCTCTAGATTGCTCTGCAGATCATGTTCCCATATCTACACCAGGGGTACAGTATGCAAAAAAGAAAGCTATCAAGGTTGCACTGAACTCCTAGTACCTGAAGACTCACCTTCCATTAAGTACCCTGTGCAAAACATGTGCTCTGAACAACCCAAATAAACTTTCATATCTAAACTAGTTCTCACAACAGCTGATGAAGAGGAATGCACTGCTAGTGAAGAGGATGCTCCTTTCAGCAGAAAGCCTCCTACACAGATGTTTTCTAGCAGAATAAAACTACACTTTGTAGAACCTGAGAAAGTTCAGTTTTGCTTATTTGAGAGGGAAAGAAAAGACAAACAGTCTGTCTTGGCTAACAGTCTGTCTTGTATTTGTTCTAGATTTTCAAATTTTTGGGCTGCGAAAAGCTAATAAGATGCCCAAGCCAGATACTAAATAATCCTTTAAGCCAGACAGAATAATTCTTTGAGCATTAGAAAGTAAAGTCAACAATCTAAAAAGTTCAAGCTAAAAAGCAAGGCTTTCTTTAGCTGAAGAGGTGCTTTAGACAGTTAAGTAACTGTTGGCTTGGAGATAGTGTCATTCTAAAAAAGCTCCAAAAGGTGAAAAAGAAGCCYAGATGCAAGTCTATAATGCCACTCTGCCTGTGGTAAATGGTGAGTATCTATCTAAAGTACCTCTTCAGCTAAAGAAATCCTTGCTTTTTAGCTTAAAAAAAACTTCCTCTGCTATATTTGTGAAAAGCACCTCTCACAACTCAGCTTGCCCCTTCAGATGTCATCTTTGGGCATTTTTAGCATCAAAAGCCAGATGTTCTGAGTTGAAGTATTTAATCATTAGCTCCATGCTCTGTATATTTTTAAGTGCACTCCATTCACCTCGAATTCCTACAATCCCAGCATCCTCAGACAAGGTTTCCTACAGCTCACTATATTTGAGGAATATTTTATTGTTATTGTAAAGACCTGTAAACAGGCCTCATTCATCCTGGGGCCAAATCTATGGTGACAAAAGCAAAGAATACACTCAGGGAATTAGTGCAAAGCCACCTGCTAGAATACTTCAGCCACACAGGAGATGTACCACTCCTGAAGCTAGGAAAAGAAATCTACAAGTGTTTCAATTCTCCGTTTGAGAAGTATTAGGATGAGATTAAGATGGAGAATGACTACCGTGTTCAGACTATAAGTTTGCAATGGGCTATTAAATCTGTAAAGGAGTGAATATCATAGCCTTGTAACAGCTGTTCCTAGGGGAAAGTCTTCAGTGTTTGTTAGGATGCTATAAGGGCCTACCAGCACATACTGTGCCGAAGATGTGCAGTGAAAAGCTCTGATGGACAAACTAAAGTCCTYGGTATCATGTTTTAGTGGCGTTTACTCAGTAATTCTTTTCCCCATTAGATGTGATTGATTACCAGTGCTCCTTAACTTCACAAGGATAAAACCCACATTCAAGTAGCTTTCATTACATCTGCTTAAGCAAATGTAGCAAATCTTAGATTTGCTAGATTTCAAATAGCAAATTCTTAGATTAAGAGTCCTGGAATACAATCTTTAAGCCGTTACTTGGTATGCAGAACTTAACAACAGACATATCATGCCTAAGGTATGGGGATGACAGAGAAAGCAGTGTCTATCCTTTGGACACATGGTTCTAAAACGAGGCACTGAACTCTGCTACATACAAGTAACAGAAGCTGATAATTGCTATCATTTCTGTAGGGCCAGACACTGATGCTGTAGCAAAGAGCTGAAGCACAACTGGCTTCAATTCAAAGAAAGATTCTAGGCAGCCACAGGGTGTCTCTTACAGAGGACTACCTGCCACATCAGTAAAGGAGCAACTCCACAACATGTTGTGTCCGCCCTACAATACTGACACTATCTTGACTGAAGAGCAGAGCAGACAAGAGAATGCTACTCCATGCAGCACCCTGCTATTAAACGTAACTAGTTTTGTTCTGACTATCTTTCTACTTAAGGTATTATTCACTTCCCCGCTTTTCCCACTACCAGCATTTAGTGCTGTTAAAAAGAGTGAACTCTCCRATTCCACTCAAACATAATGACAGCGTTTTCTGCCCCAGGGCTCTCTTTACCTTCATTGATTCAGCATACAATATATATTCCCTAAGCACAGGCAGGAAGTCTTCTGTCATATCTTCACTGAGTTCTTCAAGTGCTGTGCAGCAGTTCCCAATACAAGCAGACACCCCCTCCAGTGGCTCTGACAGCTCAACCTCCAGCCCTCCCCAAGTTGAATAAACAGGTCCGTATTCTCGTAGTTCTACCAAGTATTCTGCAAGAGGCAGAGGGAAAAATAGATTAACAGAGTAAGAGCAAGGCACAAAGATGTGCAAACACAAAACAGGAGAAATTATGCACCAAGTCTGAATAACATTAATCCCCATGGAGAGTCAAGACTCATTTAAGTTAGCACCTTAATAGACAGAGCTCCATGGCTGCACAGGTGACAGGTTCGAGTTGCCTTTTTCTTAATTTACCATTCCTACAGACTTCCAATATAAAGACAGTAGCAACCTGGCAACAGCCGAAGACAGTTTTTTAAACATATGTAAAACTTTACTAAGACAGGCCTGTAAAGGTTATCTTCATCTAGGAATTCCATTTTTACTCCTCCAGCTGGAAACTACAGGTTTTTCTACCTTTCAAAAGTCTTCAAAAGTAACTCTAGTAAGACAGTAAGTTGGTATAAAAAGTTCAACTCAAAAAAATATTTTGAGAGTTGAGCTAAGGTAAGATACTGTGTTATGTTTTGGGCCTGTTTTAAATCTGGAACAGGCATTAGATTTTGCCTTGTATGTGACTTATTATAGGCTAGAATCACCAACACAAATTGCCTTGATCATGCTATCAACCAGAATAAGACAAAGAACATTCAGACTGAAGTATTACGGTGGAACACCTTGTGCCCTTACCCAGCTGTTCCTTGATGATCCGTTGTGCTATTCTGTCAATGGTACCAAGCTTTAGAGAGAAYGTGTCTAGATAATCCCCAATGGCTGCAAACTCCAGTGGCCGAGTTCTTAATTTGTAGCCTCCTGTAACGTATTTCACAGACTCCCCCATCTTTGACAGCAAGGCCATTCCTTGTTTTTTATAGGCGTTAAGATCCTAGGAATTAAGAACAAAAATCAAAACAGAAAAGGACATGTTTAGGAATATTCACTTGCATGTTTAAACATTAATACAATGTRGGATGCTTTCCAGTCAAGATCAAATCAAGAGCAAGTATTTGTCCAAGGCTGCATGTCACATGCATTTGTGACATGTGACAAATGCTTGCTCTGTGCAAGCTGTACAGATGAGCACAGCTTCAAATCTACCCCTAGATGGAAGTAAATTATCCATGAGTATGGTATGAAGCACATTAGAAATAACTAAGTAGTCCAACTTTGCATGTGGCCAGACTTTCCAATGTTCCTGTATTTTCACCAAGCAAGTAGCCGTATGAACAGCTCTGGTTCTTCCACCAAAACAGTGTACATCATTCATCCCCACAGACTTCTAAGTCCTACCACAATATCAGTACTAGGCAGATGCACCAGCTGGCTCTAATGACCTAGTACAGAGCTACATACTGCACAGCAACTTAATAAGCAGCCTCCTCACTCCAGTTCACACAGGAGGCAGGTGCAGACTGCATGCAGAAAATGTGCAGCCTCATAAGACCAGCAAAGCTCTTCTGCAAGACAGACTGCAGCTAAGGCTAGGTTAGATGTATCCATGTTGCCACCACAGAAAGTGTAAACTTCCTTGACACTCCCTGACACATTTGCGTAAACCAAATTTCAGATAACCTATGCTAACAAGATTGTTTACCTACAATCTTCAAGGAATTTCATCTTATCAGTACACCAGGAAAAAATGGTTTCAGTTAGCCAAAACAGTGTCAAGCTTGCATTTTACTCCTTCCAGCAGGGGTCAGTATTTAACATCTCAAAACAGGGTCATGAGYTATGGAAAGGTTATCCTTACAACCTGAGGAAGAGATGTGCTCAAACCAAGTAGACTTGTAGAATTCAGATGTGTCATTACAGACTAGACTAAAAGCTTAAGTGTTCTTTGAAAAAAAAAAATAAACCAGCAGCCATCTTCAAAACATGTACTACGGTACTCCTTCCAAGTACTTAACATTAAGTCCAATGTAAGTCTGATTAAGATAACCTGACATCTTAGRTGTCACTGTCATTTTCAATTATGTTTCCATTTAAACTGATTAGTTCATTGACTCTTGCTTTCTGCATGTCCTAAACACTAGCTGCAAGCAGGCATCAGAAAAGATCCTGAACTCAAAATTATTCACTTTCTCAAGCATTCTGGTTACTAGTCCAAATCAGGAACTGAAGAAATGTTGATTTCTCTTTTTCAACCAGGAGGTGATCTAATGACCTTCTGTGGTAACTAAATTCTGAAGTACTAGCACACTGAACTTAAGCCTCACTGCTCCACCAGAGCAAGCTCAAGCATTAGAGATAGTCAGCAGAAAATATGTCCTTTCCTCCCACCTCCGAGGATGCTCTGTAATCTCAAGGCAGGCTCTGCCCAGATCCAGAGGTGGGAGAAGACAAATAAAGCATCTAAGAAAGTTGCATCATGCTTGGACAGCTGAAAAGAGGAACAGAGCTATCTGACATTTAAGGTGCTAAACAAATTCTGCATAACTTCACTTGTTAAGTTCACCATGGAGGAGAAATAAAAGAACACTAGAGATTGATTCTTAACAGCAAGCAGAGCACGAACCCRAAGTGAGCTCAGACATCACATTTAAGTGAGCTAGAGTAACTAACATTGGAAAGGCATGCTTTTATAACTCCCCTCACCTCTCTGGTAAAACCCAAGCATAACTGCAGGTCCTCCTAGTCTTATTTAAAATGCAGTTCTAAAGAAAGCCAAGGAAAATTGCACCATTCCTGCATGAGTCATGAGCATGAAATTCATGCTGAGCATGAAATTGTTGGCTGGGAACAAATAAGAGTGAGGCCTCCATGCTTAGTTTTGAGGGCATCAAGTGCAAGCTGTATGAAATGCACAGAAAAGATAAGAAGTCAAGAAATTTGCAAGCTTTTGTGCAAGAGAGACTTCTCTTCCTCTCTCCCTTCCCTCCTCCCCAAAATAGGATTTTTAACTTTACAGTTTTCTGAATTTATAATCTCTCTTGCTTAATAGAAGTATGTTCCAGGTTCAAAAGAAGCAGGTCTAGAGAATTCAATTTATGAATCTGAGGACAGGATTCGTCTTCCCTTCAAGCAAAGGGAACCCATACTGTTGTCACACACAAGGGTCTGTTACACACAATATTCAGGGTCCCCAACAACCCTCTGGTATTTTAGAGGAAGTTCTGATCTGCACATCTTGTTAATGCCTTTTTACCCTAATTTCACAAGAGATTGCAAAGGTTTCTGTTCTTTTCTCCCCGTAAACAACCACATTTGAAAGTTACTGACTTACCTTAGCTGTGAGAAACACATTGAAGTGCTCATTAAAAGAAAGCACTGGGTGATCAGTTATTCTCTTCAAGAATTTGTCTAATGCTTTCCTCCTCGTCTCCACAAATTCTTCTGAAAAGCGATCAACAACACCCTTCACCACAAATTTTTCAGGAAGAGGCTGTCAGAGATAAACAAAAGGTACAAGATTCTAAAGACCAAAAACTTGCTTCTTCTATAAGGAAATAAATAAAGCAATCACTTTCCAGTCCTAACAGGAACTGAAATGTTGTGTTTGCTAACAGGAACTATGTATCAGAAGGGATGCAAGCTGTGCTCAGAATTACCTTTTAGCTGGTCTGGCTTAAAGCTAGCCACTGCACTGACTGGCTTCAGCTAAAAGTCACACCAGGGGAATTAGAGAGTATTCACACTAAGTACTTCTRGCATAGCTCAAACTGCTGCCCCTAGTGCTATCCATGCTTAAGATTCAGCTCTAAAGACACATCAGAAAAACAGCATGGTATTCATAATACTAAGTGCACACACACACCCACAGCCCAGTGCTGAATCAAGGCTGCTCAGTCTAGGGAAACCCAGAAAAATTTGATTATTCTACTTACACCCCACACTCCCTCTCTGAACAATTCAGAGCTTTTGAACAGGCCCCTCCTGCTAAAAGCTGACAGCCTTAGTGAGACTACTGAGCAAAAACAAACGAGCAGCTTGACATAGAAAATGCCTGGATCYTTTCTGAAGTGTGAGCACACCTGGTCATCTATCAGAGCTGACTTTCCTGAGTATGTTTCTGTGACAAAGGCCTGATGATACATCCCCTCTTACTATTTTGAGTCCATCAGCTCATCTCTGCAGTTCAACTTGACATGTATGCTTAGACTGCATCCAGACCTGCTAATTATACAGTCCCCTATTACACTTAGATTACAGACTCCAAAGTACCAGTTCAGGTGAAAGACACCTTTAAAGCTGAAGCATGGTTAGTTTCAGCTCTATCACTAGATCTGCTTTTGCTCTGTCCAGACAGCATGGACCTCAAGATTAGCATCAGTTTTAAAACTATGCTTTGCATTTCATTCCTGTAAACCAATCCACCCAGCCAATCTGCTTACAGTTAGGCTAGCAATGACAGCCATTCTCATACAATTCAGGAATCAGGATTCTCCTGTGCAAAGAATCATTGTCACCTAAAATCTGTGTCAAAAATAATTAAAGGAAAAGAATCTATACACATGGTTTCCCACCATACCTGAGTTGATGTGGGTTGTATATGAAGACTTTCCTAGAAAAGCACAGCCAGCATGACTTAGCTGCAACACAGCTACATTTTGACCACTGTATTTGGTTCTTGCAATTTAAGACTTACCTTATTATGCTTAGCATTCAAATCAGTCAGTCATTCTACTTAAATCAATATAAGGTGTATAAAATAAAATCAGTATTAGACAATTAATACCATAATATCATTAGACTTCTGCAAAAATATAATGCTTTGTGCGTTAGTCTTAAGGGAGGCAGAAACTCTCCTTCTTTGCTTTGTAAACTTTAGCTGGGATCTCAGCACCATATGCAGGAGGAAAAGAAAGAAGTTTAAAGGAAAGAAAAAAGGGGGGAAAGGAAGACTAGTTTAAAGAATCCTAGTTCAACCAAACACATGAAAACTGGCACTGAATAATCACTAATGTCTGAGCATTTGAAACCCAGAGACAAGTGCATCTCTGTTACAAAGACTTCTGCCATTTAAATGSTTTCAACTACAGCAGTAGGTACATTCCCTTCTACTTTATGCTTTTGGAGGTCCATCTCTAGTAATCAACACAGCTAGTAACTGATGCCCTGCTTAATTTAACTGTGTGTTAATTATATAACTTACAGTATTCCATCTCAATAATCTAACTTTCCCTATTGAGATATGTGAGCAGCATTCATTGCAGTCAGAAATGGCTTTAAGTATCCAAACATGGCTATCCAAGGATAAGAATCTTGGCAACATTAGGTTTACCTTTCTAGTCTAGAGATAGATCTGAGATCAATTTTACTGTGTTTTGAAAGAAAACATTGGAATCTCAGATCACTAAAAAAATTGCAACTATCAGAAACTGAAGAGATGAAAAGGAACCCATACTGAGCTTTGCTTCAGCTCCTAAGCGTAGGTTGTCATGATGCACTGCAGTGGGAAGACACGTAATTTGCTACAGGAAGATTTTAGGCAGAATCACTATGTTGAGATTAGGAACACAACTCCCTTTTGGTAATTTGTTAAAAGAGAAGGTGTCCAGGGATTGCAGCATTTCTGTCTGCAAATACAGATACCATTAGATTGTCTTGAAACATCTTTTCAGAACACACTTGAGTCACAGTGCATCTGAAACTGCCTTCATATTCTACACCCCATCTATTTCTAGCCAATAAATAAGTAAAGCATTCCACAATCTCCCCACCATACTCTGCATTGAGGATATTAATAGGAGATTCTGCAACTGCTAACAGGCATAAACAGATAAAATAGGGCAGCACATTCTTATACCTCCAGATTTTCTAGAAGAAAAGCACCTAAGATACTGGCTTGTTCTGCAGCCAGTTCCACATCCAATATTAGAGTTACTCATGCCAAGTTTGCTGCTCTGTGTGCAACGAATTACTGGTCACAGCAAAGGAGCTTGATTCCTTCTGTGACTAACCTTCTGCTACTGGACTATTATTTACTGCCTTGAAGCCTTCAGGCAGAACTGGCTGTCCTTAGTACACCCAAGAATCTGCAGAAACTTAACTGTGATAGTTCCACCTGCTCAGGAAATGGGGAGTGAAAAAAGACAAGAATGGGCACCTAACACATCACACATGCCTACACTTATGCTCCAAAGCTCACTGTCCTTCTTCTCCCTACAATTCACCAAACATATTTGCTGCCACTTAGTGGCGTCACAGGGTTTTGTGAAGTACTTCTTACCACTGAGAGACTCAGTTATTATTCCACTTGAGGCAAGTCCCAGAGTAATTAAGGACTTGAATGGCGCTCTTCCATAGAGCAACCTAACAATACTTCCCACACACCCTGCTCCTTGCTGAGGGAGGGAGGGCAGAGAAAATTTCACCACATCACCCACCCCAGACAGGCAAGCTAGAGTATGCAAGTAGTGTTGCTATTTCCCTACAATTCTATTCCAAAAGGCCTTTTTAAACTTCTTTGTTCAAAAGGGCTGAAAGTAGTGTTCTCATAGGTTTCCTACCTATTCACATCTTCTATAGTACAAAAAACATATAAGGTACTACCAACCTCCTTACATCAAACAGGATGGTCAGATCACCAGTTTCAGCAACAAGGGGGGCAGTAGTTTACCTAATAACTTCAGTAGTTACTAGGTAAAATTCTGCCTACTGAAGGAATGCAATAGCTACCAAGCCAGAGGCTGAGACTTCCCACTCTGTGCTATTAAATGTCAGTGCTATTACGGGTTAGAACAAATAGTTTTAAATTACTCCATAAAAGCCCATCTTGAAAACCACCTGAGACTAGAACCTCAAGTACCTGTGGCTTTTCATAATCCCCAGATGCTCTAAAATATAGATGTAATAATTGAGCAAACAGATAAAAACAGATAAACTCGTGTCTGCTGAACAGCCCAGCATTGCAGCAACCCTGATTAGACAGCCCTTGTAGTTGTCACACAGAGAAGCACGGGGAGCTACACTTAAGTTACTTGCAGCATCACTTTATTTATGTCACAACTACTGTAGTCAGCATATGTATTGCCCTAAAGGCTGACAAAGCTCACCTCTCAGTTGTGACACTCATGAAATGTCTAAGTTTCCTAACTTAGTCAGGAATGGGAAGCTCTTTCCACTCCACTGTGAGACAATAAAGTACCATATTTAAATACTCAAAGAGAATGAAGCACTGTTTTAGAATTCAAGATACATATCAACCAAATATTACCCTTGGAAGACAGAAGCACAACTGTCCTTAATAGCAGATTTTTGCTTACTACCTACGGGAATGAGATGCGTCGGCTGAGACTCTTCCAGCTTGTTTCTCAACCAGTCRAAGTCTTGGTACCGCCGACGGACTGAGTATTCTGGCAAATCAAACTCTGCTCGTGTGGTCTGGAAAAGAACAGGATGATATGCTTAGTGTGTACCAAAGCCTCTCACTTCCGAGCTTAGCAGCAAATCAAGTACAGCCATCCCTGGCAAGGGTGTGGCCAGAGAAGCCTTGCAGGAGGGTCTTAATCCCCAAAATTGTGCAGCCAGCATGAGAGAAAGCACTTCTGGCTTTTCAAGCAGTGGAAAAGCCAGCAATATGAAAAATGATTGCTTGGAGCTGATGTGTAAGATCTATTTGTAGTTCATTATATATTCTGCTCCCGTTATGGGAGAGGTCTGTAGAGCACAAGCACTACATACCACATTACTCTCTTGGCAGTTAGATTACAAAGACTGTTGAGACACTCATTCTAAGGAAAAGACTATTTGAACCATCTTGAACCATCAAGAATTAAAAGTAGAGGTATTTACTGACTTCTTTAAACTATGATATCCATTATCCACAGGTGAAAAAATGTTTCACCGTCCAATATTCTGTAACCAATGGGCTTATCACATTCATTCAAGGTTAAAAATTTACAACATAAGCCAGTACGAGGTTTGTTGACTTTCAAGACGTAGGAACAATTCTGTTTATGTGTATGTCTGATTAGTATTTTACACTAAAGAAAACTGTTTACATTTTCCTTCTTTAGGGCAAGGCCATTGCACGTTTAATGGGAAAAAATTAAGTGTGCAGAGAAATGGCAAGCAAGTATTTTATCCAGCCCTTGAATAGCCCATAGCCTGGAAGGCTGACTGTACAGGGCTGTTTGCATAGCACATAGTGCAACTTCCTGAAAGCACTCGTGAAACTCGTATCTGCTTTAGAGCCCAGCATTGCAGCAGCCCTTGTAGTTATGTCGCACAGAGAAGCACAGGGAGCTATACTTAAGTTACTTGCAGCATCAAGTCCATTTTGCAATGAATGGCTTGCACGCCACATGCCTGCTGCCAGGCAGGAAAAACCAGTGCATTCTAGGGAACACACCAGCAATCCCAGCTTTGAACTGAGTCCAGCACTCTGTTGCTTTACTACTACCAGCTGGAATAAGCTTTTAAATGCAATCCACCTCTTCACTTGTTCCCTGGATGACTCCAGCTCTTCAGTAACTGCATTTTAGTCCCATCAGTCATCACTGGGGATCCCGTGTAAGTTCTACATATGAAATCTTTTTCTAGGGGGAAGTCAGGAGCCTTTACAGTATTATCAATATAGTAGGTCTAGGACACTATAAGCAGCAAGTGAATGTGTTATTACCCATTAAATGGCTTGACAGCTAGTAAAGGAAGGCATAGACAGATAGAAAAGAAATGGGAATCAGCTCCCTCCTCCTTTGACCTGCTAGCCAAAGTAAGCAGTCAAGAGTTTAGTCCATGGACTAACATAATGAATCCTCATGAATTGGAGCAGTTCTGTTTGTAGATGAGGGACTACCAAGACCCAGATATCCACAGCAGATTTGTGCTTCACTCAGCTACACACACTTCAGAGTAACACCAGTTTACCTAACATGTTAGACTGCCACACTATATATGTGACTTCTGAAACTTGATTTGAATCATTTGCACTTGTTTTGAGTAACAGACTGAATGGCATTATGCTAGAAATTTAAAAAGAAAAGGGGGGGGGGGAAGGGTAGAGGCAGTAATTACTTAGAAGGCAGAGCTTTTGTGAACTGCATATCACTGCCCAAAAGCATCTTATGAGATCAGACAGTGAATAAATGAGAGTAATCAGAAGGGCTACACACCACAATGTCTTATCCTGTAGCACAAGGATGAAGGCAAAGTCTCCCATCTGTTAGCACTGAGCAGCTTATTAAACACTATTCTGCTAACAGCTAAGGAAAACTGTGCAGGACTCTTTAGGAGTAGGAAAGCAGGGTTAAGTCTCAGCACACAAACCATATGTTAGATATCACTGACCTCTAGGAAACTGGTCCTGTGGCCTTTACTTCACAAGTAGAATTGAAAAGTTTCCCATACACCATGTTTTTTTTCCTCAGAGATGAAAATACAGCAGCAACATTTCAGTGTTTAATGTACAGGCTACCAAATCTAGACAGCAAATAAGCTTTTCAAAGACTATTTGGCCAGAACATAAAGGCCCTTCAAGGTTTTAATGAAACCTCCCTAACTCCCTAAGAATTTGGATCTCAGATGAAACTGTTTCTTAGTTTAGCATGTTATTTTTTCCAGACTACACGTAAGATGGTTATATCAAAGTAATTTTATATCCTAGTTTTTCTCTCTAACTCACTGGACTTGATTACAGATTCCCCTCTTACTTAAGTTTGAGACAAAATCTTCAACTAGAAAAGAGAATGACAGAGAACAGAAAGGGAACAAGGCTGGTGTTCTTAGCATCTCAGCATTTCTTCTGCCTTAACTAGTTTAGCCTGTTTGAAAAAGATGTATCACTTTCAACTGCTCCTCTCTAGGGAATCAAGCTGTTCCATGTGTTCAAGTAATCTACCCAATGCATGCGCTGGAAGCAGGAGAAGAAGCACAGGAAAGTGAAAAGAAGACCTCCACTTCAGTACTGATTGGTTCGAACAATTCTTCCTTCAAGTCTGCAGAGCAACTGCATGACTCTGAGGAATGGAACTCAGCAGTTCAAATGGGAAAAGCACAGAAGAAGCCCTTGCCATCCCAGAAAGCACAGTGAAGTTAAGAGTATACTTAATTATGTTTCACTTAGGAGAGGTGACTACACAACATAAAGCCAAGCTTTACTTTCCCCTGCCTTCCTAKGAAAGACCTGCTTGGTAAAATCCCCCGAGAATGTACATCAGTCTGTCTATCTGAACAACACAAAGACACTTCAATCATCACAGTCAAGACCAATTAAGTTTTAGCACAAGTTTCATCCACCTTTATAGTTTCACTAGCCTCCTTGTGTAAGGAAACTGCTTACTATCTTGCATAAGTAATTGCATTAGCAAGATGAAAACAGGATATGAAAGAATCAAGAGAGTCAGTCCCAAATCACTGTCCTCCTCAGCTGGAGCATTACCACTACATTATTTAAATGTGTTAATCCAAAAGAAGGGCTAGGGGATGCTACCTGGCTCTTACTAGCAAACTGTRAAAACAGGTACACATACAGGATCACATGCATTCCTAAGTTTTCTTTTGCAAGACACTGTTTTGACCCTTTTTCAGTAACAACCACCTGCTGACAAAGGTATGAGAAGGTGAAAAGCCTGGGGCATATTGCAAGACTTCTTTTTTTTTGCTGTTACAATGGACGACTTATATAAAGAAGAAGAAAAACCTCACACAACACAAATGAGACTGTAGTCAGTCAACACTCTTCCCTACAACAGTGTCCTGTCATAAGATATGAGCACACACTAAAGCATTAGCAACTCCCACCTTGCACCTAGTGATGCTGCTTTTCAGTTTTCAGAGTTATTCATTCGATGACCTACGTTTATCCAAGCCTTAGAGGTTTCCAGAAGCATTCTCCTATGGAGAAGAAAAAAAAACAGCCCCAGCCTCCTCATTCAGAGGCACCAGAGAGACCCTTCAGAGGTCTTAAACTCCTTTCCTGCATGGCTGCAAGGGAGGTGTTGAGAAGGGTCATCATCTCACTCTGTGGATGATTCCTGTGCAGCTTTTTTGACATGTTTAATTAATGCTTTCAGCTACAATGGCTAATTGGCAATTATCTTGGCATCAAAGAGGCCTTGTTCGTAAGGCAAGAATGAGTTAGACAATTAATACTGTCAGTCTTAAACAATGGTAGATAGCGCTGGAGGTTCTGACCCTAGAGATTAACAAAAAGTTTACAAGAATAATAAGATCAAAGAGATGAGGATTTAACGGTGATTCAGAAGAATAACTTATGCAGTTTCATAACAGCATTRCAATGGTATGATATAGCAGATTTATGTGCTACTGTGAGATCCAAAATAAACAAATATTGACTGACAGGTAGGAAGACAGTTTTTTAATTAAAGGAAGAAACACTGTTGGGTAATACATATGATCTAAATATGGTAAATATTTTGGCCATGTTTCAGAGTTCCGCTTCAACAAAGAAAGAAACCCTTGAACACAAGGATTTCCAAGCATAGCAACATTATTAGGGTGTCATTAAACAGAGGTATTTTACACTGACRGAATAACTACGTCTTAATTTAAGAGAGAAACAATGTTAGCCAATTTTAGCCATTTGCCTGTTGAAAGCTTAATCTCATTTTGTGGTTCCTATTCCCTGTGATCAAGTGAAAGCTCAAGGCCAAGCTGCTCCAAGTAAAAAAACTTTCCTGCAAAACTTCTTCGTATTTTTAGTAATTAAAATCCAGTGTCTCCTGCAAGATTAAGACTCTTAGAGCAAAAATGAATGATAGAATTGTGTTAATGGGCAGCAAAAAAGTAGCTACTATTTTAGAGAAACCCCATTTTCTCCTGTTTCTGGAAGTGAAACTTTGAAGCGGACATTTTGAAAAAAAAAAATCGGTGGCCTGTAAAGGCTCCTCACCTCCAAGAATAATATTCTCTCCAACACATCCTGCTATGTAAGTGGGCCAGAGGAATGCTGATCTTTCTGGACAAGTATATTAAGTATATTACTAGTGAGTCAGCAAACACTTTTTGCCTTAGGTAACTACAAGTGCCCAAAACAGATGTCACCATCACCTAGGAGCTGATTACAAGAATGAGTTCATTAAGGGAAATCAACATTTCAGTTGTGAATGCAGTGGACTTCCCAGACCATTTTTCCTATTAATACAAGTAGATTACACTCATGCTTGAACTACAATAGATGCTGAAAAGATCTCCACTCTCTTTACTTAGGCTGCAGCATTCTTAGGCTACTTTGTTTTATTATCAGCTGTACACTTATCTGAAGCAGCAACCGCAAGGAAGCTAGTTTACAGTTGAGGTCCCAGAATATAGTTAAGTGGATGATAGAGGAACTGTTGTAAACACTTTCAGCAACAAACTTAAAGAATTTCAGAAAAGGATAAACACAAAAAGCGAGACGGTTAACAGTGAAACAGTAACAAGGCACATTCTCCTTAAGGGAACTCAAAGCAAATGAGTRTCAGATTACTTAAATGAACAAACTTTGAAGTCAATGAAAGAAACTGGCCTTGCAAGTTTACAAACAGTTCTATTCAGGAATTGGATACAAACAAAAATCTAAGATGACATGTTAAAAGCTTTTTCACAATTTCAGACACTGAAGTAACAGTACTGCTAAGAGAAATCAGATCTTCAACACATTCACAAGGTCCCAAAAGACATTAAGGTCTTGTCCTAAGATTGGAAATATAGTGCAAGATACAAATATCCAGAACATGCCCTAAAATTATTCTACAAAGAAGGAAGTACAAGGAAAGAGAATATTGCTTTGTACCTTTGTTGTAACCCTGTATGTGATATATGTCTCCATTGTGCACACATGTTTTTTGGGATCATCAACAGTGACAAAGAGGTCTCTAGTTTCCACATCCAAGTCATCATCCAGCTGCAGTCTGTTGAGGAGAGATGAAGAGGAGGCTGGGCTAGAAGTGTCCACAGGTGTGCCATTGGGCAGACTGAGATCCTGTATTGGAGAGGGAAAAAAAAGTTTTTAGTAAGCTTAAGAGATTCAGTGTAAAGCACACTATTTTCAAAGATGCCACACACAAGCTTCTCTGATAAATTACAAGGGTTATTTGTTTCAGCAGCTCCMAGAATCACCCTTTTCCAGGTCACATGAACAACCCCCTAAGGTCATCAAGCATTAGGCTGTTCTACAAGTTGAGAAGAAAGCACACTACCATGATACCTCCCCCAAGTAAGGCACAACCTGCTTTCTATTCATAAGGAACTAGAAGCATTGCTGAACAGTTCCTGGTGAGACTGAGCCAACTTTATTGAAAATGAAACAGCTAGGCAAATCAAGAGACCTACTTATGAGACTGGTTTCAGGCAAAGTGGCAACAGTTCAATTGTCTGGAACCCAATCAGCTTYCACCTCTCTAGACTCCTACAGTGCAGGAAAGAGCACAAAATTTCATCAGAAGCCTCCCACCCAGTCTATTAACTTCCAAACATATTGAAGGCAGTCAGAGCCTGAATTGCCAGAGCCTGAATTACAGGGCTATCTCCTGCACCAGTATCTAGGCACGCTTCCCTCTTGAGGTTCTAAAGCAAATGGAAACACTAGTTTTTCCTTGGAGAGGTCCACATTCCCATTCTCCCAAATCTAAGAGTATCATCCTATCATCCAGTGCCTAGAGAAGAAAAAGGCTAAAAGATCCAGCAAGACGCTATTTTAGGAAGAAAAATACAAACGTTTAGAAGTTTGCAATTCCTTCAAACTGACTTAGCAGTGGGGAAAAACAAAAAAAAAAAAMAAACCAACAACAAAACAACTTTATAGCTAACTTGGTACATTCAGACATCTTCAAATCTCACATTTCAGTACAAACTAGTACATAACAATGGTTATTGCAGTCACATAAATATCACTGCAACTTAACCTGTTCTCTRCTCTGGTCTCATGGCAGAGAGAGCTGACAGTCTGTGACAAGCTGTACAATATGTAGGAACATATTGAGAGACCAATCTGACAACAAATTAGAAAGTCTTAAGGATCCATGGTTCTTCTTTTCAGAGAAGAGATGAGGTTTTTGTTTGCAACTTTTTACCAACAGCACAGCAATAGATTCATCCACAGAGTGACTTCCCTTGTTGTTAAACAGAAACATCACTATATCTAAGGACCACATTAATGAGAGTACTTTAGTTACACAATTACTTCTTAGACTAAACTTCACACCTTCTGTAAGCAGCTGAACAAAACTTACCATCTTAGCAAAGCAATCGTGTAGGTGAGACACTCTGTTCATCAGTGCTCCTTTAGGCAAAGGTTCAGAATCACAGGTGAGTACTTTGAGGGAAAGCTACTTACAAAGGTCTGCCTTTGATAATGGCTAAAAACACAGAAAAATTCCTACCAGTCATTGTCACAAACTCATAATCAGAATACTAGGGTTTCATAGACAGCTATCTGTCTGTTGCAGTACTGCAGAACTATGGCAGCGTTGCTCTTCGCCTTGAGGGCTGCCTCATGAAATATAGAAAAATAATGCTTTAGCCTAGACATTTTGGAAAACAGGTGCTCTAAACTACTGTCTACCAACAGAGAGGTTAGATATATTCTCTCAGCTCATGTACCAAAGAGGCTGCCAACAAACAGATGAGAAGCTTCAGATTTAACTAGCAGGTAAGTAAAACAGGAAAGCAGACACTTGAACACTCTCAAGAGGGCAGAAGAACAGGATGAGTATGGCCCAGCTTGCCAGCTCAGACATGCAGCAGACACCTCAAACTACAAAAGCATCTGGCTTGGACTCAGCGTAGTAGGAACATGTACAACAGGACAAAGCAACAACACAGTTGACTCAGTAGGTCAACTACTGAATAACAACAGAATAAGATTAACAACAGGAAATGGCTTCAGAAAATCTGTAGTTCATCTGAAGAGAATTTGGCTGAGCTAAGTAAAAAGCAAAGGAAACCTTAGGATATCACAGTAGCTGGACATAAATCTACTTCTGTTTCCAAAAGGGAAAGACAGCTCATCATTGCCCATGTGCAATAACCATTAGCATACAACAAGTTGTGCCAAAACTGCAGCCAGTCAAATTCCAAGCTTCCAGTATGAAAATGAATTGCAGAAACAGTTTAAGCCTGGTTCTAAAGGAGATAYCAAAAGCTTGTAAGAAAACACTCACAAAAGAGAGCTTAAAGAATATGACACAATCTTCTTAAAATATGAGAATCTGGAGAAAGAACCAAAGATGGAGCTTGCAGCCACTTGCAAGAAGCCAGCACTTTCCTCACCAGCACTGCTGGGAGATAACAGTATCATAGAAGTATGTCTTGCACATTTTGAGCAGGGCAGAAGTCTGTGAAGACTTGAATTTGCTTCACTTTACTTGACTGTGTTCTTGCAGCCATGGGCTCCTGCAGAGTATCTCAGGTCTTAAAGGCTGTGATAGTTCTATCTTGGATGAAACATGCCAGAGTGCTACATCAAGTACAACTTCTCTACCAGCAGTGGTGCAGATCAGGAGAGCTGCTAGCTGTGGTGGTGGGGAAAAGACAGATGATGTGCAGACTGAAAGTATTACTGTGCCATACTGCATCATCTGCAGGATCGTCACCTGGCAGCCACAGCTGGCATCATACCCTGCTACTTGGCTAGCTTTCAGTAGATGAAAGCCACGTTAGGAGCTAATTATTTCTCCTCCTGAATGGGTGGAACCTCCTAGCTAAGTGCACTAGAAACGACAATGCTTATGGCTGCTGAACCCTTGTTTTAAAGCAGGCAGGAACAATTTTGCTGAAGCTATTGCTAAAAAGAGGTAGGCTTCAAAGGATCACAGAAGAATGCCCAGCAAGGTATCTCGAGTTGTAATCCTACCAACAGACCACCTCCCTCCCTCCCTGCCTTTCTTCCATGGGACTTGGGGGATGGGGTTTTTTTGCTGCTGGTAAAACGAGACTGCACCAACTGTGTTGGTCTGCTTTTATCCCAGAAAGAAGAGCATGTCCTATAGAGCCTAGTGGGAAAGGACATTTGCTGCTATCTGTATTTCTGCAGATATATAACTATACAACTATGACTATATAACTAACTATAACTATATAACTATAACTATATAACTATAACTATATAACACGCATCTGAAATACTGGCTAGTATTATTCTGTTTTACATAAACAAGCTGGCAAGCTGTCTCTGACTTCAGTGCCAGGGCCTCCTGTATGAGCTTCACCTTTAGTGTACCAAGGTGCTGCCCATCCATGTTTTAAGTACCTATCTGCGTTACTACAGATCAGCAGAGTCCAAGTCACAGCAGGTATCCACTGCTCACAAAGCCTTTTGTCACAGCACCTGTTACTCACAGTAGTCAGTCTGCCACAAAGCTGCGCAGCCCTGCAGCAGAAAGAAGGGGAGGCTGCTTCCAGTAGCCAGGTAGGTGGCATGGAGGACACATTTATCAAGACATACTTCACATTTTAGAAAGCATCCATAAAAATTTTACCAAGTTTCCCAAGCTTTTTCTAAAGTAAAGAGCAAAGATCCTTAGTATCCATCCTTCTGCCTCAGGACAGTCTCATAGCTTTGTAATTTCTTGAAGTAGGTCCAGTGAAGGTCTAGCAAGGCCTGGGTCACAACATATAGCAGTTACAGTGTGACATTCAGACTTCCAGGTTCATGAGCTATTGGTTAAATACTAGGCTCCTGTGCACAATTGTAAAACCAGCACAAAGGCAGGCTCTTCATGCATTCCTGTAAAGTTTCTAGAATTCATCGAGACACCTGAATTTATGGGTACATGAGTCAAATTATTTTAGAAGGCTATGGTTGGTATCCTACAGCACCAGGCAAATAGAAACTAACTGCCTGTGTTCGAAATGCACCTTGCCAACAATGCAGGCTGCTATCTGGWAAGGCTGCTTCGCATTAGTTTGTCTTATGCCGTCCAAGCACCTTGACCTGTCAGCCTGCCCAGAAATAGATACTAAATCTATCAAGAAGTTCACTTCATCCAAACATAAAACTTGACTGAAATGTTTTAACTACAAGTCCACATGTGAGATTCAAGTGAGTTGGGAAGTTTCCAGCTGTTGTCATCTTCCCCCAGGAGATTTTCCACGACTCAATTTACAGTGTAGTTTGGAGCCACATAAAATAAAAAGTTCAGGAGCTTGGCATTCAGTCTTCTGGATGGCATCCTCCCCGCACAGAGCAGAACGCCAGAGAAAGCATCCAGGACTCAACCCCTGAAGACTAAAACAGGGGCCTAAAATTCCATAGGTATTGTTTTATTGTGAAGACCATGGAGTCTCCTGCTGAGTTACAGGCAGCTAGTCAATATTGCAGCTTCCACTGAATGCTAGTTTTCACCTATTGTTGCCTGAGCATGTGTACAGATTAACCATATTGCTTTGTTTTCTAAGCAGCAATCCATGAAGAAGCAGAAGGTGTGGTTCAGGCAGGTCTTCCAAGCTCACATAAGCTCACCTCTGGAAAGGGTTAGCCTGAACCCACGTGATGCTGTGTGCTCACTGCTCCCGTTCAACAAGTGCTGAGTGACAGTAAGAGACTTTAGAAATCTTGCTCTTTAGAGGTAAGAAGCAGACTTAACCCTAAATACCCCAGACTAACTTAGGGACTTCAGAGCCAGGCCTGTACTGCTCCTAGAACCTCATTACTTCATTTGTGAAATTCAGTGTGTTTTCTCCTTCTATTTCAAGGTGTTCCATTGCTTTTTGCAGAGACACAGTGACAGTCATGTTAAGGAGACAACAATTCCACACAACCATAGCTGGGTTTTGGAACACTCTTACCCCCGTATCTTCAGTACGTGACAGTAAGTCATTGGAGAATGGCAGCCAATCATTGGAAAACTAAAGTGGTTTAGACATAAACATTCCCAAGGGCACTATAAAAGCTTACATTAACCTGGCTTTCACAGACCTATTCATAGTATTCCTTGTCTCATCCCAGCAAGTTTTGAAAGCAGGTGGTTTTTGTTTACAGAG